TAACCTATTGATCTGCAACTCCGTTCTGTGTTAAAGCAGAGATTTCAAATTCCCTTGCCCATGGCCCCTTGCCTCTGCCTCTGCTCAGACAGTCATGGATTCTTTTTCCTGCTAAGGACATCTACATCATCATCTTTCTGGTAGGACAAAATAAGCCCTGTGGCTTATAGTAATCCCTTTTGGTACCATCCTTACTTTAAAATATTTTTTCTCCTCTGCCTTATTTCCCCGAAGCCTGCTGCAAGTATTGGGAAAATTCTAAAAATATTGAAAATCATGGTCTGAGGAGGACAAGGTTGCCACAGCAACTGTCCAGTGTTCCTGAGATTTATTCCTGCATCTCTCAAAACCATCATGAATGCCACAAACTGCTGAGGCACTTGCTGCAAACAAAGCAGGGCTATAGGAAAGGAGAACAGAAAAGAGCACTGAGGAGCCAGTTGTAAAGGTGAGATGTGGCAGGCTCAGGGAAAACGTGGCAGGCATTTGGACTTTGTGTTAAATCCCCTCAGTGCCTGCAATGCTGTGCAAGTGCATGGAGTGCTCCGACACGTGACAGTACCTGACATGACAGTGGATAATGTCACTTGGCCTGTGTTGCAGCTCCATGATCCAGTCAGGAGGGTGACATTGTTTCCATCTGGAAAGGAAACACTTTCAGAAAGAGGAGGCCAAAGTTAGCTGCCTCCCTTGGGTTTGCTAAATGACAGATTTCTGGGACAGAAGATGCCTGACAAAGAGCGCTGCTTGTCAGCCAGAAGTGATCATCTTTTTCATGGGTTTGGGACTGGTCTCAGTATGGACTAATGAGCAGAGAGCTATATTGGGGGTCAGGAGGTTTAGCACATCCATTACCCTATTAGCCCTGGTTTTCTCATCTAATAAACAAAACTAATGTTGTTATATTATCAGTGTATATAATCTCCAGGTCATCTGTTTAGAAAGGCAGGCAATCGGTACCATATGGTTCCATTGTACTGCACAGTTAATACAAGGGAAAATCCACCTGTGAGCTATCTGAGAGCTTTTTTTAAAGGAACAGAACTCAAAAGAATTGCAGGCTATCAGATGTTTTGGTTCTGTATGCAGGATCTTCTTTTCTGAGGCAGCTGGTTCCTGTGTGTGAGAAGCTGTACGGAAGAGCCAGATGTGATTACCTATGGAACTTTCCTTGGGAAGGGGCCAAAGTGAGCAAGCAGTTCATGTTTTGAACGGTGCCGTGTGCACATTTGCACCAGCTGAAATGGAGTGGTCTGTGGCCTGAAGCCATGCTGGCACTTCAAACACATAATCTAGCACTTTTCAAAACATTACAGCATTTAGAATTGGTTCTGCTCTGGGACTTCTGAATTTCCATTCTGAAAGTCTGTGCACGTGTGGGAGATTTTACCTCCATATGATCTCATGTATTCTATGCACACATTGTGCAAAGTTGCAAATATAAAACAGAGGGTAAGAGTTGTATTAGTAACTATGTTGCAAAGTTGATGTTATTTATTTGAAAATTTAGAGGGGTTCAGTCCAGCCCCCCTTGTCCTCCTGTGTGAGACTGATGTGCTCTTACGCACACAGACTTTTGGTGGCAGAAATGTGCTCTTGTTAACAGCAGTCAGGATGAGATGAGACCCAGCTGCTCTGCTTGTGTAGGAAACTTAGGGTAGTTTTGGAGGCAGCTCCGATTCATTTAAACACTGTCACAAGCCTCATATGTTTTTAGTGTTATCAAAGCCAATCAGGTTACTGTTTGCAGGTATAAGATGCCCCTAAGGGCTTTGCTCACTCAACTGTACCGAGGAATTAAATGCTCTGAGGCAGTGCAACAGGCTCATTCACTCCAGTGTTGCAAGGCAGTCATGGCTGGTAAATGGGCCCACGTTACAGTGACATTAGCATTTTAATGCAACTAAAGAGGAGGTGGATTGACTCTAATTTAGTATCCAGTTGCACGGCCTTGTGCAGGTCCCCTCTTGGCTGCTCCACAGGGGCCGATTACAGTTACACAGTGCACTTTGGGATCTAATTGGATTTACATGAAGTAATGTAGTTGTGTCATAGCAACGATTCTGCTGCACATGTGCTATGAGATTCCAGAACAAACAGTTATTTATGTAGGAGCAATAGTTACAGGGTAATGCATGGGGCTGACAGCTTGTGCCAAGGTCCAGCTCTAAATCAAAAAGTGTTTCACCTTTTTTCTGAAGCCACTGCAAGGGAATGAAATTATTCTGATCCAGCTTCCACAGAGATGTTTCTCCTCACCTTTCACTGTGAAAGCACTAACCTGACACAGATATCCAGCAGGACATGACTTCTGGATCAGAAGTCATGATCCAGACATGGATCATGGGGCTGGCATGTGTTTAAGTGTATCTCGACCCTGCAAATGTATTGAGCACAGGAGACTGGCAGAAGCTAGAAGTCCTTGTGACACACAACAGTTTTAAGGGGTTCATCTGGTGGCCCTTCTTCTAATCAACAAGCTGGATTTCTCACAAAGACAGGCCTTGCTTCTTCATCCTGCACACTCCATTAATTTCTCGTTTCACTTGCTGCCTGTTGTCTGTTTCAACCCCTCTCTGTCCCATCCCTCTTTGCTCTGGAGCTCCAGCTGCCTTTCTTGCAGCCTGATGCCAGCAGGAGGCACATGTTTAGCTGCTTTTCCTTTATCAAAGCCGGCTCCTTGATGGGCTGCAATGTGAACGTGAAGAGAAGCCAATGCTCAGCAAGGAGAGTTGATGTGCCAGCCACAGCTGGCCAGCCCAAGGATGAGGCTTAGCCTCAGCTGTTGCTCCTGCTCCCACTGTGCTTCCCCAGAGACTGTAATTAAAGGCATCAGCTTGCTGGAGTCACAATTAGGCATGGTGGGTTTGCACTTTGTGCAATTCTCCCTAATGACAAAATCGTAGCTATTAACCAAAGAGAATCTGTTTGGCAGGGACTTCCTCTCCTTTAAGGCAACAGAGTCAGGTGGATCATTGCTGCTTCTTGGCACTAAATGCAGTCTATCATCCCTTCTGCTGGTACCTACTGAAGCATTTAAACTATTCTTCTCTGAGGTGCAGTAATTTCTTTAAAATATTGTGACTTATGATGGATAAAAAAATAAAACTCCTCTCCCACGCAGACCTCTGAGGGCTCGTAGGAATGTAATTATATGCACGCACAGTAGGAGCAGGAATCCTATCATTCTGGTTATTTTCTTAATGATAGGTTTATATAGCACAGTGTCATCTCTGCTTTAAAGTTAGAACCATCTTCTCTTGGCAGCATCTATCCCAAGAAAGTGGCATCACAGGACAGGGCAACCAAAGAAACTGTCTCTCAATCACACTTGCAAAGCACAGGATGAAGCTTCCCTGCACACCACAGCAATAGATACAAAGGTCAGCGTGGGCACTGGGCTCTGACTGACAAACAGGGGCTCTCTGCTGTGAGGCACTGTCCCTTGTCCTAGATGTTCCCTCTCTTCGGACCTGCTGAACCTGCTGCAGCCATCTCCCAGGCAGTCCCACAGCACCCTGGGAACTTTAACACTGGTGGAAAAGCTGTACTGACTGGGAGCAGCCCTTGCAGCCAGCATTGTGAAGTAGGGCAGCTCAGCCCCTGCTCGGCTCATGCCTCCAGCACTTCCCAGCAGAGACAGGTGGATTGGCATGAGATGTTTGTACCCTCCAGGTTTCCAAGGGGAAGCCATCCCAGTCCTTCATCTAGAGATGTAGGTTTACAGTGACAGAGGAAGGACATTAAATGTGAGGGATTCATGCAAAATAAAAGGTCTATGAATATTCATTGTATGTTTTATATTGTAATGGTTTCAGCCACCTTGAAACTGCTTGTTCACTCCCTGCCAACAACAAACGATAGACTTTTACTCACAGAAGTCTTAATAGCAGGCAATTTTCAAAGGCACATTTACTAATGTTTGTGGGAAACAGATGTTAAATGCACCCACTCCCAGAAATCATGATGAAAAGCTGGCACTGAGAAAGCAGGGAGAGACTCAGGTGACTTATCTGGTGCCTCACAGGGAAGCAGCAGCTCCAGCAAAGCTGCAAGTATGCCAAAACCATGTTTGAAGGATGAGTGAGTGAGTTACATTGCTGAGCCCTATGTGAATATTGGACTCTTATGGCATGGGGTGCTCTCTGAAGAGTGAAAGACTGCTCCTTCCCCACAGGCCCTGCAGTATGGAGTTGGGGCTGCGTCAGATGTATGGAAAAAGCAATGTAGGAGCGGGTGCCCTGAGAAAGCAAGAGTCAAACATGCGTGCCTTGCACATTAGTTTGTAGTACACCTCACCTTTGCCTAGTCAAAGGCTCTCTTTAGCATTATGTGGGCAGAAATTAAAACTTACTGAGAAAACTGTGATTGTGACCTTGAAGACAGTGGCAGCCTGCACCTGAGTCCCTCTGCCTGCACCCATATATCTAATACTTTTGGGTGACCAGGGCTGTGGCTTTGCTGTTCCTCTGTTGCTGCTTCCCAGGCAGTGACAGTGAGGCAGAGGGAGAGGAAATAGTTTGCTCAACTTGGCGTGACAGCTGGCTGGAAGAACGAGGGATAGCACCCAACATTTACGCAGCTGCTCCTAATGGCTGGGCTTCCCAAAGATGCGTTCCATCTTCCTTCCTGCCTTTTCCATTTTCCCAGTAAATGGGCTGTAAAGTCACAGCAGATTAAAGTTTGTCTAAACCTCCTATAAAATATTGAAGGTGCAGCTGGTATTAATCTAGTCCTCTTGTGGTATGAACTGCAGGTGTAATGGGACTATACATTTACATGTGGTCTGTGGGCATTTAAAACACCCCCAAAGATTGTTACAGAGATTCTGAGGAATTGAATCCCTCACTGGGTATTAAAAGCTCTTCATTAGTGCTAATGTACACCAAATTAAGGTGGCAATTAGACTGAGCACTTTCATCAGGATGGTGTGTTTTAATAAATTGCGTATTTAACATGCGTTTTATTGACTTCAGTAATTGTGTATTTTTCTCTTACAGGACAAGCTTGGATACATGGGACACGCAGACAATTAAACTCTGGAAGAGACGCTGTGCTTCAAGTCCCAAGATTAGTAAAGGTGAGTGCTGTTAATGGCTTGCTCTGTCTGAACGCCAGGTACTTTCTCTGTATCTCTGTTGGAGCAGCTTAAGGATGGCTATGGCATGCTGGAGGCAATAAGAAATACACAGCTCATCTGCCACTGTGTCACCAGTGAGGTACTGCAGAAAGTGATCCTTCCTTATGAAACTCCTTATGAAACTGCCCCTAATCTCTGTTGCAGCTAGAGGAGAAGACTGTGAGAAAATAATGCTCTGAGAGGATTTTCTGGAAGCCCTTCCTGTTAGGTATGTTCTCTTAGGAGATCCCACCAGAGTTGAATACTGCTTGCAGGTAGTGAACTCAGAAATCCTCTTATGAGAGGTGTACTTGGGAAGGAAGGCAAGCATGCTGAGGCAAGTCTCCATGCCTGCAGGCCAAAGGGTGGCCTGCCACACTGCTGGGGAGGGGACACCATGGAGCAATGCCAAGTGGTGTTGATCCTTTGCCACTGGTGTAGCATAGAGCTTCAGGGATTTTCCCAGTGACACCTTATCTGGGACAGCCTCTAGAAATCAATGCATTTACTTGAAAGAGACTCTACTCCATATTTTCTAATACCTTTAAAGGTACCTGGTACTGGTTCTGGAGAACTTCAAACACATCTGCTTTTAGTTGGTGCATTGTGAATGGCTATGAACGTAGGTGTGAGTTGGCATCATTTCCTGCTCCAGCCACAGGCTAATGGCTAATGTTCTGTAGGAAGTACTGCAGAACTGGTTCTGACATTTTAGAGGAAGCAACAGTTCAGCATCAGTTCAGTGGACAAGTTCTTCATGCATGTTGACAGCAGAGATATTTATGTTGAGAGAAGATATACACAGATCATGTGATAGAAGAGCAGTGACTGAAAAAGTGATTTGCATGAGGGCAAGAGAACCTGTAGACATCTCTCTCAATCTCAGTTATTCTGTGTTTTCTATCAAGTATTTGAGATGGGGAGACTGTGATGAGCAATCAGTCAATCTGTCTGAATTTCTATACTGAAACACAAATTGTCTGCTGTGGCCTGTCAGGGATGGGCAAGGAAAATGGTTCACACTCTTGGTTTCAGTAGAGGGTAGGAGTGACAAAATAGAGAAGATGTGAGGATTGAGACTGGTGAAGATAAGGTGCTCCTGAGAGTTCTGACAGACTGGCACATCCATGAGATGCTCTTGTTCCATTTGCTACCAGGTAACTCAGACACACCTTGGGCAGCTGTTTTGAATAGTCTTTTTATGAAACAAAGTCATCAAACATTGGTAGAGGTGTCCAGGGGTATAGAATATTAATCCCGATGTTTCTGGGTGGGACGTGCCTGGCTTTGTCTGGCCCTTGCTGCTGGACCAAAGGCTGCAGCTGTGGTGTTTAACCCCAGAGATACCTTTGGCCAGCTGGATGCTGCAGCTGGGCACCCAGAACAAATCCAGGCATAGTAGGAACTCAGTTTACCTCTGGTGGAAAAGGTTCAGGCAACGGTGAAGAGAAAAGAGCGGGTTCTATCATAGAGTCTTAATCCAGAGTTTTATTCTAGTATGATAGACCTCTGAATGTGGTAACAGCTCACAATAGAACACTGACCACATGGTCCCATCTCCTTTTAAGCCCCGGGGACAGGGGGAGGGGAAGGGACAGGTGAGGGCCAACCAGGTGTGAGGAGGGGAAGGCTCAAGGGATACAGACACTTGGACAGACCAATGAGCCCGGACCTGAGGGGATCTTTTGAACTTCTGCCAACCACACCATGACCCTGCTGGAATGTTAAGATTGATGGACAGCTCTTAGCAGGAGGGCAAAAGGGGGATGGGGAAGGTTGGCACACCTGAGGGGTTGGGATAGGTGAAACAGGAAATCCCACTGCAACACAGGGGGGAGTCTCAGTCCTTGGAGATATTCATAATTTAACTAAGGTGACCCTAAGCAGCATGCTCTAACTTTGAAGTTGGATCAGATTTGGAACTGGCCCAGGTTGGAGGCAGTGGGTGCTTGTACTCAGTGAAATCCAGAAGTCCGGTCCAACCTAAGTTTTTCAGTGATTCCTTCTTCAAAGCAAAGGTAAAAAAGCAATCTAAGTGAATCCATGGGTTTCAATCCAGTGTTAAAGGAATATGGGGGTTGAGGGAAATGTCAGTGGCAGCAAAGAGGAAAAATTGGAGGCCTTTTGGAGGGGTGTGGTTGGGCAGCTGCCTTTAGAAATGTGAAGTTCAAGGCAGCTGCAAGGCATGCAAAGCAAATGAAAAAAGGAAGGAAGTGGCTGGAGAAGAAAAAAATGCATTGCCTTAAAAACTAGACTTTATTCCTAACTGATTACAGCAGCTGGGCTGTGTTTCCTGGCTACTCTGCTGAGGACTTTTAGCCTCCCCATCCCTTTCCAAGATAAAATTAATGGGGGATACAGGGGAGAGAGAAATGTAGAATAATGTGCCTTAGAAAAAGCTGAACATTTATAGCTACATTTCAGACAAAAACAAATGCATCTCATGTGTCTCACAGGTCTGAGATGGGACAAGCCAGAGAGAGCATCTGTCAGCCTCTGTCTTCTGCAGTTCTGACTGTTCATGTTTGCTTAGCTTTAAATGTCTCCTGCAGAGAAGAACTTAATCTCTCACAGATCTGGGGCCTGGAGGAGGGGAGTAAAGGTATTTTTAAAAGGTAGATTAGGACATAGGCATTCAGTTCTTATCACACTTGTATCAGTGTGTAGTAGGAGTAACTCAGATAATTTGCTCTTTGTGTGTATGGCTTAAAAAGAAAAGTAGAATGAAAGCCCATCTCTGTGAGTCAAGACTGTCCTTTAATGTCAGTTATTTTAGCCATGGAGCCTGTCATCAGGGACTCCAGGTACCTTCAGCTAATTAGCAAAGCTAATTGGAGGCTTGCATTGAGTTCTTTTGATGTGGAAACTGATATGGTTTGTTCTTGGCTTTACCAGCCCAGACCTCACATTATTGGCTCTGAGCTCCATTCGCTCATCCTGAGTGGAAGAAGTTTGGAATCTGAAAGCCTCAGTGAGTGTGGTCTTGATCTGAAGCACAGCATAATGAGTAAGGTTGCACTTAGTTATTGCTTGGCTGTGAGAAGTGTAGTGGGTTCAGGAATTACAAATCTGAGCCCAGTACCACTGCTGGGGACAATTTCTTTCCCAAGCAAAGAAGAAGGGAGCCCTTGTTTGTCAAATCTGAATGTGCATGTGTTCATGCTACTCCCAGGTTTTTGTGACTGACTGGTTCTTCTGGACAGCAAACTTTCCAGAATCTGATTGCTCAATGGATTTATAATCTCCCTTCCCTTCTTATGCCTGGAAAACATTTTAACATACTGAGTGGATGGGCAGGCAGGAGAGATGCAAATAATCATAGCCTATGTTTGTCTTTGTAAATAAAAGTAGACCTCTATTCAGCTCATGTAAATTGGAGCAGTCTCAAGGGAGCTTGCTCACCTTACAGAGGAAGCAGTCCCAGACATGGAAAGGAAAGTAAGACAGGAACATGATTTATCAACACTACAAAGCAGCGAGACAGTGTTAGGCTTAGGAGCTGCTTCTTTCTTGAACCACAGGCATTGTTTTTCATGTGAGTCACTGTAATGGGGTGTGTGAATTATGCATAGTGTCACAACAAAGCTAAACTGTTTTGGGTTTTGTTTGTTTTTTGGTTTTTTTTTTTAACAAAATCTACTGTAATATGGATCACACAGGTGGGTGCTTAAGGCAGCAGGACTTTGAAATTTCTGAGATTACTTTAAGACTTTGGCTAATTTACTAAGATTTAGCCATTCTATGTTTCCCTGGAGCACAAATTTTTAGTGTGGTGATGGGAACATCTATGTGACGCTAATTGTGGGACTCTTGAAATCCCAGTACCCCATTGATTTGTCTGTGTTTTCATATCCCTCTCTAGTGTCCAAGTCATAGTGGAGCTGAAGGCTCACTTTTCCCACAAAATTGAAGAATTCCCTGCCCAGCTTCTTAGCCTTCTGGACTTCAAGAACCCCTTTTCTCTGTCAGATTTGCAGACATGGCTTTAAACAGTGTCAGGGAGCTGTGGGTATTTCCTGCAGGCACACATCTGAGCTCTGTGCCCTACCCCATCTCCTGTAGAAACCATCTTGTCCTTGAATTTCTCTGGGCAGAACAATTATGTACCAGGGGTATAAGAAAATAAACTTTTTAAAGAAGAAACATTGTCCTCATTCTCAGGTTTAGATTCAGGTTTGTGTTTCTCCAGAAGCAATTCCTCTAGCAAAGAGAGTTCCCTGGGCAGTACCCAGCCAGCAGAGGCACACTGCTGTCGTGCCCCAGGTACAGGGAGCTGCAGAGGGAAAACAGCCCACGTGAGCTCCTGTGAAACACCATTTGTCTCAGCCTTTCAGCTTTTTCACAAAGAAGGAAGAGATTTGATTTTAATCAAGTGAAAGCAGTATACCAAACACACACTGTGTAACAAAAATCTGTGTCTTACCAGCCCCGTGCTGGGAGCTCTGCCTGCCATGGATTTTCTCTGCTCTTTGGCTAAAGCAGAGCAGTGCCTATGGTCACAGAGGAAAGCATCTCGTGAGGCTCTAGAGCACTCACAGATTTTGTGGTTTAACAAAAACAATGGAGTGAAAGGCAGTTTTATTTCTAGCCTGGAGAAAATCCTGAATAATTTCAGTTTTTTATTTTAAGTGAATTAAATGGCCTTTGCTAACATAGCATATCATTAGATACACGTCTGTTAGGGAATGGAATTTGCAATGGAGAAAGGGAATGAGATGCATTAAGAAGCATGTGGGCTTTGGGAAGGCTCCTCTGGGGAGCCAAGCAAACCTGTGTCTCTGTGTTTGCAAATGTATGGCTCCGTCTGTGCACAGTGTCATGATTGTGTTGTTTCAGTGGAAGTTTTACTATTTCATGTATTTATTTGTCTGTCCCTCTAGGGTACTTAGTGATGTACTGGCATATTTGGACACATAGTCACTTCATTACATAAACAGCAAGAAGGAACTTTCCTCCAGTGTAGCCTCACCTGGTCAGGATTTATTGCTGCTCTTCCAACAGAAGCACTGGCCAAGGAGTTTGTTGTCTAAATCAGACACTGAGTTTCAGAACTGGTTAAGATTCCTTAGCATGTTTTCCTGGCCTCAAAAGCTTTCCAACATTGATCCATGGGTTCTTCTTGCAAAGGACCTGTGCAGGGTGGGGCATAGAGCAGCAGGATCTCCCTGTCACAGGAACATCTCACACTGCATGGCAAGCAGGTGCTGTGCCCAGCCTGAGTAACCACATGAGGATGTCCTCCTTGGGCCCTGCCATGTCCTTGCATTGCTGTCATTCCAAGCTCAAGTGTCTACAAGCTTCCCTGAAGCTGTTCATGTTTGTGTGGTGTTCATTCTGTAGAGGGAGATTGTATGGAGATAGCTGTCCCAAATGTCTTTCTGTGTCTTCTAACTGGGCACAGCTTGTTCTGGCTCCTGTTTCAATATGACCTTTTCTCAGCATGAAATAGACAGGTACATCCAGTGATTCTCAGACTTGACAAGCTTTAAGGAGTGGGGGGAAAAAATTCTTCATGTGTAGAGGAATATTTTTTCCCACTATCTCAGTCTGCAAGTAAAGCTAGACCTTTGGTCTCCTACAACCTTCCCCTTCACTTCTGTGTTTGCCTTCAGACCTTAAAGAACGCAAAGGCACCAGGCAGCAATCATTATCTCTTACTAGCCTGTGCCGTGTTCCCCCTTCAGGTAAGAAAAGAGCTCTTCTCTATAATGAACTCCACAAGGTCTTGGGGGAAATACAAATAGATTGGAGATAGAATTGTGTCATTCCAATAAAAATGAGTGTGCTAAGAAAGTGCTGTTGTTTTGCAGGAGGAATTGGACAAAGGACCCTGAAGACCATGGAGGGAGACTGTCTGAGCTGCATGAAATACCTGATGTTTCTTTTCAATTTCTTTATATTTGTAAGTATTTGGAATTCACATTCTTTTCTGGATCCCTGTTTCCAGCAGCCTGCTGTTGCCCAGCAGGATAGGCTATAGTGTGGTAAAGATGCCACAATACAGAATATCCCCTCTGTTGTGCACTAGCAATCACTGAGTGTTTTGCAGCAACCAAAGATGCCCAAACATTCAGCAAGGCAGCACAGTGGTCACTGTTGTCTGAGTTATTGCTGTCCTTGACAGGGGAAACCACAGGGAAAGCTGTAAATAATGATGCACATAGTTCATTCTTGAATGGCAGAAGAAATTGTTTTCTAGTCCTGGGTGCCCTGCTGAGGTTTTCACTCAGGAGCAGTAATTTCCCTACCACATGTGGAGTCATTCTTAGCTGTTTTTGTTTTTGAAAGGCAGGGTGGGAGTGCCCAGCCACCCTGGCCTCTGTGGCAGTATGGGTCACGTGAGCCCCTTCACTGTCCTCCACAGATGTGGCAGCAGACCAAGACTGTCCTTCAGCAGTACAGAGGGAGTAAACAGTTGGTAGTGATGTGTCAAGAAAGAAAGGTGCTTTTGCTGCAAATGATTCATTTATTGAGCAAGAGATACTAAGAGCAGCATGTCAGAAGTCACCTGCACAGCATGCCTTTGCAGAAACACAAATTCTCCAAATCAACATGTTTGATCCAAAGATAGCAATGAATCCAGTTTTTCTGCAGCAGTTGTTTTGTGTTGACCTGTCTCCCTCTCTCTCCTGTCCTCGTGCTGTGGCAGCTGGGAGGAGCATGCCTGCTGGGACTCGGAATCTGGGTCATTGTGGATCCCACAGGTTTTCGAGAGATAGTGGCTGCCAACCCCCTGCTCTTCACGGGAGCGTACATCATGCTGGCCATGGGAGCAATGCTCTTCCTGCTGGGCTTCCTGGGCTGCTGTGGTGCCATCCGTGAGAACAAATGCCTCCTGCTCTTTGTAAGTGCCCTTGCAATTTCTGTTGGTCTCTTGGTGCTTCATAGGGGTGACTGGATAGATGATGCTGGGATAAGCACAGGAATGGATGTCTACTGTTGTAGTCATTGTCCCTTCACATGATAAGCAGGCTTAGGATAGTTTTACACACTGCTTCTAATACAGATAATTTGCTTTTTCACCTATATAGATTTGAGCCCAGTCTGGGAATGTATTTTAATCCTTTTAAGCTTTCATTCTAATGGACCCCATTTGGTTGTTCGGTCTTTTTCTACATCTATAAAGTGACCAAAAATGGTCCTTTCTTGGCTACTCAAAACCCACTGTTCCACTTGTAGATTCATTCCTTGAGGGTTCACAACAAAGGAGGGAACACTGGGGCACAGCCCCTGTGCAAGGGAGCCCCCCATGCCAGCAGAAATGCCCAGCCCAAAACTGCATCACAGCAGTCATTGCTGTCATTGCTGTTCTCAATAGCTGGTCACTCCCTGATACAGCCTACTATGCTCCTAAAATGAACCAGATTTGATACCTTCGGACAAATTTTCCCCTGAATAACAGGATTAAATTTCAGCCCATGGTGGTCATCAATAAGCACAAAGAGCTAAAATAAACCACTTCTGCCCTTGCCCCCCACTCCTCCCAAGTTCTGATGCTGAAGGATTTTCAGCCATTATCTCCTGCTGGAAAGCATTGCCAGTTATGTATTGAAAGACAAAGACCATTAGTTTTCTTTTTCTTTTCCTTTTCTTTTTTTTTTTCTTTTGGTGTGTTTTTTTTTTCTTTGTAAAATGTGGTCTTTTGTTTCTCCCAATGGGTCTGGTGGCACTTTGGGTTTGTTGTGCGTTTTGGTTTGGTTTTTTTTCTTGTTTAAAAATCTTGGTCTTGCTCTATTTTTTTAGGCTTGTGTCTTGCACAGCTGTTTCATGGTTCAAAAAAAGGTCTGTCTCTAAACAGGACAGGAAAGTCCTCTTTCTTGAATGCAAACCTATCCTTTTCTAGAGATGAGTGTGGCTTCACTGAGATAAATTCTCTCTGGCCCTTGGCTCCCATATGTCTTGAGTTCATAGCCTGTAAATGAGAGCCGTTTTGGGGAAGCCACTCTAGGTTTGATTTCTAGTGATTCATCTCAGAAGTAAATCAGAAAAACAAATGTAGCACCTGTGAAGCCTGTGGACATCTGCCCAGAGGAACCTAATAAAATGGAAAGGATGAGGCCCAATGAGCCTGAAGTTACTTCAAAGCCTGTCCTTGTCAGATTAAGAAACTAAAAGTGAAGTTTGATGAGAAATGTTGCTGTAAGTGAAGAGGAGAGTAATATTTTCAGTCTGCTGCACACAGACTGGTGACCTGGCTGGAAAAAGGGAGCTCTGGGCCATGTTCTTTCCTGATATACCAGCATTTACAGATTTGAATGTTTCTCCATGTATTTTAGTTATACTCCAGTACACTCAATTTTGTGGTTATTACTTTTCTTACTCCTAGAGGTAGTTCTGAGCCCTGCTGCTTTATTTATTTACCTTCATTATTATTTTATTTTGAATGAAATGTGAGAAAAATATGAGCTGGAAGTAATGCCCCAGACTAGGAGAAACTCTAAAAGTAATTACTGAATAAGGAATTATTGTTCTATTTTGATCCGTCAGATTTTCGAGGGCTTTTTGTATCAACACCAACTTAGCTAAACAGCCAGCCATCTCATGGTCAGCAGTGTGAAGCACTTGGATGAGGACCTGGGAGAAGAAATATGTTTCTAACTTCTTTTTTGGGGCCACACCAGCTGATGTTAAAATCAGCTGATCTTAAAACATCTGTGAAACCCAAAGTCTGATAGGAGTAAGTTTTAGACACTGAATAGGCAAAAGATTCATGACTGTATGCCAGAGAGACTGGGAACACTTGCAAAACAGAGAGTGTAAGTCTTTGTGGGGGTGGTACCTGGGGAGAAGTTGCTAGATCAAATCAAGTCCACTTACAAAGTTGTTAAAGAATTGATGAGCCAGAGAGCTGCTTGAGTGAGATTTCAGTGATGCATAATGTATGCCTGAAGCTTTTAGTCCAAATGTAAACAGAAGATAGAAAGGACAAGAGAGAGATGCATGTTCTCTAGGTTCTGGTTTCAGTGTTTGCAAGGACTTTTATTTTTCATTAAGCTGCTTGTATTTTGGTAAAAAGTAACCCCATCACTATGGAACCTAACATGTTGCATTAAGCACAAGGGTGTGAGGATTTCCTGGCATTTGGACCTGACTCAACAAAACAAAAAGGAACAAACAGTGGCCTGCAAAGCAGACATTGAATGACTTGTGCTGAAGGTCCTCTGACTGCAAAACAACACTGTAAAAATCAGAATCCAAAGTACTATTGAATGTACAACATTGTGTACCAAGGGACTGAATTCAGCTTTGTTAAAAGAAGAGCCCATGTTAGCTTCATTTGGCTTAGTTTCAAATGCAGACATCCTGTTTTGCACTCCTGTAAAATGGATGCAGTAGGCCCTCGAATTTCTCAGCATGAGAATGCAGGTCCAGGTCCTTTGAGTTAAAGACAGTTGATGCTTTTTTGGAACAGCAGTTCTGAAACTGGAACATTGGATGAGTTATGAAAAATAAACACAAAGCATTAATTTGTGGAAACTTCTGATAGACCACTTCTGTGAAAACTCCTGTAACCATCACTTGGAGCTGAGGCAAAATTTTTGACCAGTATGAGAGATTCCATTTCTTAGGATGTTCACTTTGGATGTGGGGAGTATCCATGTTCAGATGTCAAGAGTCAAGCCTGAATTTGAATGTGAGGTTATTGTGTCCTGTGCATTAACCAGCTGGCTCCTTTGTGCTGTCACATATCAGTAATCAATTTAATTTTTGGGAGGAAAACACGTTAAGCAGATTATGACCCTTCAAATGCAGAATGGGAGCAAGTTCTGAAACACTGATGATCCATCTTTTTCTCATCAACCCTAATGGCTGCTTGTGAGTTTTTTCCTACTGTAACTTACAAATCTGTAATGCAGAGTGCACAATATAAGTGTAAATCAGTTTGGGAATGATAATGAAGCTTATCACAGATAATCTGGGAATGACTGCTTCCACTTCTGCACAGACCTGTGCTGGAGCTTGGGTGAACATGTGCCTCCCAGTAATCAGTAAATGAAATGCAATTAGCAGGGTGATGGGATTAATCACTTGATCACCACCTTAGACCTTAGTGACTATGCTGAGATCCCTTGATGGATGATGATGTGAATTTGCAAAGCGTCGTTCTTTCTCATCACTTGTTCTTTGCCCTCCTGTGGTGAAATTAAAACAGTCTCTGAGCAGGAAAAAAAAAGAAGCCACACAGAAAACTCCAGCATTAAGAATAAATTAGAGAGTTAACTAGTTCTGTAAAGTCAAGCAACAGCATGCTGTTAAAACCCAAAATCCCTGCTCATCTGACTTTTCTTGTTTTGTCATTTGAGCCCAGGCTCCTTTTCTTTTTTCTCCACTGAAGAAGCAGGAAGACAAATGTGATAGGGTGGTGCATGTGCTTTTCCAGTGGGGAAAAATCACTTAAAGCTCTGATAATTGACAACAAAACAACATTTTGCCTATTCCAAGCAGATAGTTTGAATTCTTTCTCCATTATTGAAGTACACAATGCACAGGCTTTCAGACAGTGTTTATAAATAATTGCTTGGGGATCACAATAGTACTTCTGGCCCTGTCTGCCTGTTTTCTGTTTCAGAAAGACCTTCTATAAACTTCTCTCTCACACACACAAAAATCCAGACTTCTCTTGTGTTTATTTTTACTTGTTGCTTCATCTATCTTCACTGGTAACATGTACCAAGTTTATTACCCTCTACATGATGTGGTCTTACAGGGTTCTCCATTCACTTTTGCCTTTCTCACACAATGCCAAAATCTGAGTTAATGTCTTAACATTTACTCAGTTCTGTAAAATAATCTCAAAGTCTGTGAGCAAATTCTCCTCCGCCTGTTTGAATTTTAGGCAGGCTGATTCAAATGGTAATTTCTCTTTATGGCATTAAGAATGTTAAAAATGTCCACCAAGTTCAGACTTACAGTTACTCAAGTCCATGATTTTCTCTACAAGAATAAATGCTATTTCGGGAGAGAGTATGAATCTATCCACTTTCTGCTCTGCTCCTATAGCTATTCCTCAGCATCAGCATTCATTGTTTTAAGGATGTTAAATGGCGCATCCCTGTTTGTTCTTTTTACTGGTTTGTAATGATTGAAGCAGCATCAAATTAGCACAAGGCATCAGTGTCACTGAGAGCTGGCCACAAGAACAGGCAGAATCTGAAGTGGAAGCCCACAGGAGGCCCATCACTCATCCTGGGCTGGAGACACTCCCCAGTACCTGAGTGTTCTGGGTAGACAAGGTCCCAGGAACAGCCCCCTCCCAGCAGCATGTCCCCCTCTCTGGGAATGAGACCTCTGAAGTGCATCTGATTTACTTCTCTGGGGTGGGGGGTGAAGGTACAGTGGATCACCCAGGCTTGGTAACCTCACCTAAACGAGGTGCGCTTGGCAAGACTGAAACCCAAACTTTTAAATTGAAGCAGCAGAAGGTCGCAAAGGCAACAGGAAGAAATATAGTTCCAGCTTAGATTGGACAGCCATGTGCCTCTCTGTTTTGCTTTCCTTCCCTTTTTGTAAAATTGTGATGACATAAGTGTAAAGAGTTTTACTTCTACCTGGAGGCCTGTTTCCCTTTTACTATCTTTTAATGTGCAGGCTGTGCTTTCTGTCAAGCCTGCAGCATGCCCTTATCTTAAGGATGTGAATATGCACACTTTGGATACCATACAAGACAGGGATGATACTTGCATAACCAAATTAAATTATTGTGGTGTGTTATCAACTTTCTGTAGAGGTCCTGTGTGGTTAGTACTTCACTCAGTGCAACCCCATTGTGTGGGGGGGATATTAACCAAGGCTAATTTTGTCCTGAAATGAAAACAGTCCATTTTAGGTCATAGCTATAAATATTTGAGGGTATATCCCACTTCCTCCTTCCACACAAGATAAGCTGTGATTATATGACAGTAAAACTGTGTTATTTGTATTGTAATCAGGGGTGTGTGTGTGCATTGACATGTGATACCTGCACTTGTGTCTGGACAGCTTAACCTCTGTGAGCATGTCCACAATTATATAACTTTTCCATCAAAGCAGGCTTTACTGTTTTAACCTGGTGCAGGTTTATCAGGGGATGCTATGGGTTCTGTAACCTTCTACACTTTTACTCATTAGAAGCAGGCAAAAGTGTCACAAGCTCCCATGTCCTGTGATGAGGTCAGAGAGGGAATGTGTGTGCTTCAAGTGACTCGCTCATACAGTTTCTTAATTGTCAGGGGGGAAAAAAAAGTTTCCTCAGTTATTTTTTCCATCTCTCGGTGATTAGCAAAGCTCTGTATTCCTACTACCCATTGCAGACATTTAATGCTATGTTTGTGGTTTCTATCTTCTCTCTTCCAGTTCTTCATGTTTATTTTGTTAATCTTCCTGGCGGAGCTTTCAGCTGCAATCCTGGCTTTTATATTCAGAGAAAATGTAAGTATCTGATGGTGAGCAATCTCTGGACCCCAATGGGGTTATACACAGCTGGAGCAGAGTGTTAGACAGTGGCTGATTTGTCTGTAGAGTGGCTGTTTCAAATATCAGCAAACCTTGTTCATTACTAGCCTGTCTGCAGAACTGCCAGCATGTCAGGGAATGCTAACTAACCTGGTGGTGCAGGATGGGGAGTTTATGGTGGCACAGTTATCCCTGAAGTTTTTAGAGCCTTTTAAAGTCTTCCTGACTCCCTTGCAGCCAAACCAGCTGCACATTCCATCAGAGAGAAGTTTTATCATTAAGTCACACTGTAATTAAAAGCAACTATTTTCCTTTTTCAATATAATATGGGTTTAATATTAATTGTTGAAAACTCCTGTTTTCCAGACAGAGCTGATGCTTGCTATGCAGTGCAAAAAAATCTCTTATGAATCTTCTAATCATATTAATTCTTGATCTTCCGTGTTCTGCTGCTCACCAGACTCCTACCAATGTTGCTTGTAAGATATCCCCCCGACGTGCCCTAAGCAAATCCCACCCCACTTATTGCCCTGCTTAGATTTGTCCTTGTCTCCAAAGCTTCATATGATGTAGCCTTTCTCTATTCTTCTGCAATGAATATTGTTATATGGCCATCATCCCTGCCCTGGGCTAGTGGTAAACTTCTATTACAGTAGTAGTAACCACAGTCTCATTTCTTTCTCTAAACAGCAAAGGTCTGTGGACTTTTTTTCATGTTCACACGTATGCAAAGGAGAGCCTGACTGAAGTAGGTCCATCCTTCTTGGAATGATGGCTGTGAAAAAACATTGGCTGGTAGAGGTGGTCCCTAGTGACTGTTAGTATTTATTTTGCTTATTTTGCCCCTGCCAGTAGCAAGAGAACATACAGCACATTTGCTGTACTGAGCGTGAGAGAAATGTGGCAGGAGCAAAGAAGGGCCATGTATAATGATGATTTTCTTAGAGCAGTATATGCTTCTAATTGTATTCATTTTTGATAGAAAAGAATCAAAGCTTAGGAAGCTCACAGCATGAGAGTGTGATATTTGTATAGTAGGATGGGCATGGGAGGAGGTAGTGAGAGGGCTCTCTTCTGTTTATGAGTTGGTGGTCTTTTGTCTTTGCCTCAGATCTGAAGGCAGTGGGGAAGAGATGGCACTCTGCACATAGAATGGGTACCCCATTCCAGTTTAGGCTTTTAGACCATGCCCTTATGGAAACACCTATAAACATATTGCAGTATGGGGGTCTGGTGGTCATTACAGCTCTGCTGTTGGGAGTTTTTAGAGAATTCCTTTGTGACAGAGATGGAACACAGTCCCTGGGGAGCAGGGGCTGGGCAAGCAGCTCCCAGCTGATGGCTCCTACCTCCCCCCTTCTCTGTGGGAAACTGGTAAAAGGTACAAGAAACTGCCCAGGCTTGCTGCGACTCCTGGGTGCATGGTGACTGCACTTCTGATTGTCCTCCTCCCTTACAGCTTGCTTCTGGGCAAAGCACTGGTACCTTCCACTCCCATGGGAGCCACAGGACATGCAAGACCATGTTATCTTGCAAGATAAGGTCACAGTGGTTATTCTAGACTTCTGTGGCATCTGGCAGTGTTTTGTGAGATAAGATTTGAAGGGGAACAAACTTCTATCTTTCTTGAGCTTGTCTCCTTGTTTGTAGCACCAGCTTCCCACTCTGTCAGAATGATTGACAGGAAGGGATTAAATGAGAAGGAGTGAAGAACGTCAGATCCCAGCATAGCTGGAGATGGCTCTATGCAGAAGTCAAACTTGATCTGAAAGTTCCTGTGGTTTGTTCTCTCCTCAGGTTTCTTCTGGAAAAAATAGTCCTTGTTTTGGTGTTGCTGTATATTGTGGTGGTAGCTCATCTGACTTGGAAGCTACTTGTGGCCAATTTAGCTGCCACCTCTGAGTTAGAGTGAGCTACACAGATGTACAGGGGTGGTCTTTCATTGATCCCATGGTGGGAAGAATACTTCACAGTAGCAATTTAAGGTCAAGATCAGATTTGCTTTTTTCTTTCTTGTGAAATATATTACTTTCAGGGCATGCTGGTGTGATGGCAAATGCACACTTAGCCAATTTAAATTTCTTCTAAGCTTACCAAGCAGGATGCTGTGATGGCTGCTGCACCAGTCCTTATGGCTGTGGCCTCTCCGGGTGTGTAAAATGAGACAAAAGATACACTTTATCTGCTTTACAGATAATGTTCAGTGCAGCTTTCTCTTGTATAGTTTTACACTCAAACCAGCTCCCAGACACTAAATGGGGTTAAATTATTAACAGCTAAGGGAGTGAGAGAAATCAAGAGAGAAAAACAAGGGAGAAAAGAGATGTTTTCTGCTGAGATTTGACATGAGAGGAAGAGTCAGTGAAGCAGAGCAAGGTGGTGGGGTAAGTGAAGATGGTGTTCACAAAGGTGAACTACTGTGATCTGCAAGTCCAGCTGCACTTCCAAAGAGCTATTTAAAAACAGTCTCTGAAGAAGAAGGCCACTGTTAATTAGCTAGGTGATTACCAGAGTTTATCTTCCTTAGAAAAGGAGGTTTTGGGGGTGGAGAACCCTTTATCATCTAGAAGAGTCTCCATAAAATAATGACTTTCATGGACACTACAGAGAGACTCTGAAAGAGCAGTAGGAATTGCTCTTTATATGCCATTGGGAGGTCTGGACGGGAAAAACCTTGGAGGGGTATTTGATTCTTAGTGAACTGTCTTAGCAAGCAAGAAAGCAGGATGGTAGGGAACAGAAGAGTCCAGATGTTTGGGTTTTTAGCCCCAGTTCTAACACTTAATAAGAAAGCCACCTTGGACACTAGGGCCTCTATGTCCTCAGACATAAGGCAAAAGCTAAAGAATGTGAACCTTCCTCAGCTGAGCAGACAGAAGGGTCTCAGATGGAAGGCATGGTAGGAGTGGGAAGTGCAGCACTGGTGACTGGACCTCCATGCCCTGTACTGTGCCAGACCCAGCAGAACTCTCCAGGCTGTTGTAGATGGGCAGGAGTGTGTCCTGTTCCCCAAGCAGGCACCATGAAGGCAGCTCCTTGCACAGCACTCAGTATCCTTGAGCACAGCACAGCATGAGGAGGCTGTGACCTTCCTGGGCAGGGCCAGCACGCCTGTGTTGTGCAGAAATGCCCTCCTTTTTCTAAACCCCTTTTATCTGGCTGCACTAATCCCAGCAAAGCTATTTTTCGAACCAGTGTGACAAAGCAGTCTCACTTCATTCACTGCCATGTAAATGTAGGCATGCATGTGCTGCACTGGAGGCGCCCCGCCCAAAACACAGCTGAACAGCTCCTTATTGTTCGTGGCTGTGGCTGCCACCACTGTGTTGTCAAAGCCTGGGTGAAGCTCTAGTTTTATCAGTAGATCCTGTGCTCCCTTCCAAATGGTTCTTGCCATAGAAGTCCAATGTGCACCGATCTCATCAGGGCCGGTACTTGTTTCAGCTTGAGGGCCATGGGCATGGCAATAGGACTGTATTATTTCATCCTCCTTTGTCAGCAATTTTTTTAAAACAGGAATTTTTTTCTTTTTGGCCCCATTCTTCTGAACTTGAGATGCTCAGGATAAGCAGTTTAAGACCAACAAAATGGAATCAGTTATTTTCCTGGCAAGTGTACTCTTCCAGCACTAGGCTTTGTTTTAGGCCAAGTGTTGTAAAAATCACACACAAACTCTGAACAATTTCCTCTAGGATTGCTGCTGTCAAAATAAAGGTTTCACTTTATATTTAAATTACTCTTTTGTTTTAGACCCCAACAAAAGCAGCCGGCTGGGATTATTACCAGCAGTAATATCAGTTTCAAAGTGTGTGCTTCAGGAACAGATGAGCATCAAAAAAATGTGCTGCTGTCTGCAGGGTTGGGTGCTGCCTGCATAAAGTACTCAGAGAAAGGGAAGGAAAGGAGAACACTGAGGACATATTTCAGCATCTTCTAACCTCACCTTCCTTCAGTGCACCAAATTCCCAAAAATGCCATGTCCTCTGGTATTTTAATTTTCAAAAGCAAAAAAATTAGTTAATATCTGTGCTGAAAAAGTAATTTAGGAATTAAACGGTATAACTAATTAAAGGTAGTGAGATTGAGCTAATTGCATGATTCAAGCATTTGTGACAAAGTTTTACCCAGTACTGATGTAGTAATTACATTTGGCCTTTGTTTGTATTTGTGAAAGAGAAGTCAATATTAGGTGATATCCAGGGTCTTTTAAAAAGTCGCTACAGGGGTTTTTGTCCTTACATTTTGTAATACAAATGAAACAAACAGTTTTGTGCTCGTGCTTTTGTGCCCACCCATAGAGCTCATACATATGTATGTGTATGTGAGATATTTCACGTTGCATATCAAGAACCTGAAACCAGCTTGTACCAGTCTCTGTTATTGCGTCAGCAGTGCTGTATGAACAACAGGGGGGAATAGAAAGGGTATTTTTCAGGCAGCTTAATTCTTGATCCTACAAATATGCAACATCACAGCAGCGCTGCAGCCAGCCAAGTCCAGCCCCCTTCACTGTGGCTTTTGCAGTGGCAGAAGATTTTGTCTGTGTGGATCACAAATCACAAGACATTTTGGAGAAGGGACCACACAAGTCCAGGTCTATTGGGAATGTGAAAGAGGATTTCTTGAAGTTTTTGTCCTGAAGTGACAGAAAGGCAACAAGACTGAACTGGGATGTTCAGTTTAACATGATTATTAGGATTGTATATTCACTATTCCTCCAGAGACTCATCCCAAGTAAATGTAATTTCAAGGTGTCTAACTTCTCAGGAAGACTCTGGAACAAATTGTTTGTGCATTTAATCTATTTTACTGTAAATATAGACAGGGGTAAATGAAATTCCAATAATATATATTGTTGACTTTTGGAAAATTGTTTACATTATATAAAGAGGGTTTTTTTCTTCATGTATACAGGTTAGTTTAGATAATCAAAAGCATTGTCAAGCAAATGGCATTTTTTTCTGATTCATAAGATGACTAGTTCCTATTAATGAATTGTTTTTACTTTATAGTTTCTATAAAGTTTCATGTTAAGGCATCATTCTGCTTTCTCACATGTTGAAGTAAATCCAGAGCAGTTCCCCTATTGTTAGTAGGAAGTTAACTGGTTTGACTGAAAAGTGGAGGGGAAAATCAAGCTTTGCTTGCAGACCTCATGAAACACAGCAAGTGAAAATTCAGTTTGGATGTGGATTTGACAGTCTTTCTAAAATCTGGTTCAGGCATGTTTCAATTTATTAAATACTTTCAAATAGTGCTGAAAATTAAAAAAAAAAACACCAGCAACAACAAAAAACCCCAAGAAAAACTAAAACCAACCAACATTTAAGTGTAAACATTATTTTAGAAGTACAGATATAGTTTAGTCCCTGACTTTAATGAGTGACAGTTGTATTCAATGGGTACCCTTCACCCTCTACATAGATATGGCTCAGCCAATGGCTTTTCACATGTTTCTTCTCTGAAGTTCGCAAAAAAAAAAAGAACAAACCCAAAAAAACAAAGAACGCTCATCATTCACAGAAGGGAGCTTTGGGAAATGTTTGGAAAAGGTGTTTGCAATAGCCTTTACATTTCCACCTGTCTGTGCATTTCAGCTGACCAGAGAGTTCTTCACCAAGGAGCTGAAGAAGCACTACCAGAGGAACAACGACACAGATGTCTTCTCTTCCACCTGGAACTCTGTTATGATCACAGTGAGTCAGACCATGCCAGTCCCATTTTGCCCGTGGTCAGTGGCCACCAACAGACTGCTCAGCCCACACCCTCAGCTCTCCCAGGGTCAGCCTGCTTCAACCATCCTGTCATGTCCAGCCTAGCACCAGGGCTTGTGGTTGAAGGGAGGTGAGACTGGCTGGCAGTCAGTCTTTCTCAAATGGAGCTGCCACCAGTCCTGAGAGAGACACTCCTAGTGACTGCATCAGGGTCACCTGATTTGCCAAAGCCTGAGGCATTGGAGTACCCTCACTTTTCAAATATTGGGCACAGAGAGCAGTGGAGGTGTCTGCAACTGGGTATCACTGCATTTGCTCTGGGCCTTTCACTTTGCAGACTGCTTTGAAATTACACCCAAGAGCAACCAAAAGCTGGCATTAACTTGTGTTTTGTAGTTAACAGCAGCTTAGGCAGGAGAGTACCTAATGATGTATTTTCACTACAGAAATATTAGCTATCAAAACTGACTTTGCTATTACACCCCTAATTGGGCAGGTTACAGCAGGTCGACTGTCATTGGAACTGCAGTTGTTATTACCTACCACAAGGAATTCAATCTGTGTGTGTGTGTACACATGTGTTAGTGCTCTGTACACCCCACAGTGTATATGTTCAGGAGTGAAAAGCAGGATGTCAGCTTCTGCAGATGAAAAGTCAATTTTAATCTTAAAAGGAAAGGATGATTGCTGCCCTTCATGCTGATTCAGGACTTTAATAAAGACATTTCCTTTTGCTGACTGAAAGGAGACAGAGTATGACTTGAATTCTTAAAAAGCATCTGACTGGAATCCTAAAGAGGACCTTACTCAAATCACCTAGCAGTGCCTTTGAGCAGCAACAATCCTGGCCATTAGCTATGGGGAGAAAGGGTGTTTGGGAGCCTGGGTCGTACTGCTGGGTGATCTCAAGCAAGTCATTCTGGATATGCCCCAAAGCCCTGTGTAGTTTGCAGCAATATTCCCAGTAGCACCTTAGAATCTACAGTATGACATGGAAACACTGGGACTTCATAAAGCTTCAATGAAACAGAAGCTCCAAGGAACAAGCACAACCCACTTCTTTGGAAGCAATAGCTGTTTTGTCCCTGCTTTGACTAAAACTTCGATCCCTACAGGAATAGGTATTATATTTCTCAAGTCTGCTTTGAGGGAAAAATGCCAATTCTGTCTTCCTTTCTTCTCTGTGCCTCTCTCCAGTTTGCCTGCTGTGGAGTGAACGGACCAGAAGATTTTGAAGATATTCGTCACCTTCCATATTCTTCTTTGGAAAAGGCAACACCGGAGGCTTGCTGCCAGCGAGAGCTCCAGAGCCGGGAGGGGATGTTTGTCAACAAGGAAGCTTGTCTAGAAGGCATTGAGAGGTTTCAGAACCGGCAGGTAAGGGAGGCTGAACACTAGAAGAAGGAGCTTCATGGTGGGCAGAGATGGCTGTAGTGGTCTTGGGTAGCTGGTGAATCTGGCAGGTCCTAACTGTACCTCATATCCTAATTATACTCCTGCTGACAGCTTTTCAAGTGATGGCATATGGCTGATTTTGAAAATCTCCTTTCATTGCATACACTGCTAAGTCCATGTTGTGCTGTATCATCAGAAATACAAATATTTTCCTAAGGGATTGAGAGGCAAGGTGGAAATTCAGATCGAGTTCTGTTGTGTTTACAAAGGTTAGAACTACCTCTGAGAAGTTAATTAGCAAGCTAGCACAGGTCAGGTAGGATGGGATGGAGTTGGCTCTTGCTGCAGGAATGGTTCCAATTTAGTTCACAAAGACTCCTAATCAATATATACAATCAAAATATCAAGGGTTAAAAAGCCACAGAAAACCATGTCTGTTTTCTAAGGAAGAGAATTTGGAAAGCTGAATTTCTCTGCTTCTTTACTCTTTACTGCAGAAAAAGGGCATTTCATATAGCTGTCTTCCAGTACCTGCAGGGAGCCTACAAGAAAGCTGGAGAGACTTTTTACAAGAGTATGTAATGATAGGCCAAGGAGGAATTGCCTTAAACTGTAAGAGTGTAGTTTTAGTCTAGATATTACAGAAGAAATTATTGACTCTGAGAGTGGTGAAAAACAAGTTGTGGATACCTCATAATTAGAAATGTTCACAGCCAGGTTGGATGGGGCTTTGAGCATCCTGGTCTAGTGGCAGTGGTTTGACTGTAGCAGAGGGGTTGGAACCAAGTGATCTTTAAGGTCCTGCCCAGCCCAAACCATTCTATAGTACCAATCTATAATTCTTTTGCCAGGCCTCTCTATTTGGCAATTTTTTGCAATACTGGACTATGACAAGGCAGTTCATCCCATTGATGCAGGGTTGAGTTTCCTTCCAATGTCACCAAGAGGTGATGTTTAAGAAACTTTCCAGCAAAGTTCCTGATTGTGTTCACCTCAGCATTAGTTAAACCAAATGAGCTCTGTACTGACCATATGTACAGGCCTCCTTCTCCCTCCAGACTAGGGAGTGGTCCTCTTTTCAGCACTTAAGAGCAGATTGAGAAAGAGAGGAAAGGATTTTGGAAGCAGCATGTGAACTGTTCCCTGACTGGCAGCTGGAAAAGGTTGGCAAAGGCACTCTGGGTGAGAGATCATAGCAGACAGCACCATGCTGCTTCTGCCAGGTCTGATTGCTGGGAATAGATGGGGAGGAGAGAGATGACAGACAGCAGGGAGGGAAAGAGAAATGCATTGTGAGAAAGGGGGTTAAAGTTTTCCCTGAGTGGTAATGCTGAAGCTTACCACTTCCATTGAAAGGGAAGGCTTCCTGCAAGCCCATGTCACCAGAATGTTGGTGGAAGAAGCTGTGTACACAGCTGGTGTCATCCAGCACAGAGTGGTGCACTTTGCAAAACAGGAGAGACAATCCCAAGCAACTGAGAGCTGAATTGAGGCATTGCTGGAGCAAAGTCAAGCTCTTGAGCCACCATGCTGGTAGGACAGTGCTGACACTTTTGTGCTTACTCCTGTTTGTAGCCAGATGAGCAGAGCATGCTGAAGGCTGGGTTAAGGTTGGAGGTCTGGCAAGCACACAAATATTTGTTGCTGAGCTGGATGCTTTTCTCTGAAGATTTGGCTGAAACATGGCTGGAAGAAAGCTGATGCTGAGTGGTCTCATGTTGAGAAGAGCATGGTTTTAACAGCTCAGTTACTGCCCCAGCAGTCTGGGTTCCCTGGGGTGGCCTCATGAATGGATCTTCTCCATGCCCTCCATCACTGTTCACCAGTTGTGCCTCACTCTCTGTGAGCAGGGTGTGGCATGGACACAGGTACATAACTATTGTGCTGTCTTTGCAGTTCCAAGACTTTGGTGGAAGGGAAAAAAACAGGTGATTGAAATATCCTAGCAGTATAGATAGGATTAAAATGTATTATGCGTGAAGTATATTCTCAGTGGAGAGGAATCTGCTTTTCATATTGGACAAACTCCAATCTGCTTTTCTCTTTATGTTTGCAGATTTTTTTTCCTTTATGTTTGCAGAAATTTCCCAGTGGGTTGAAATTTTAGGCTGGGAAAACTGAGGCCAGGGTAAGCTGGTGATTTCCAGAAATATCCTGAAAACTTTGCAAGAAGATCTACCTGCTGTTAATTGTATTAGCAACCATAAATTTAATTAAGGGTGATGGTGGCTATGCTTCATAAGTGGAATAATTGCCATAGTGCATGGCCCTGAGTTCCTAATGAAATTCTTCTTCTATAGCAAGATCAACAGGTGTTCAGCCAGCCTCTCTGGGGGGAAACATAGAGATAAGGTCCTGGGTTGGTAAAGAGTTGCTGGCTGTGAGAGATGAATCAAGAATTTCCTGCTCGGCTTTAAATAAATCATCCTTTTCTCTGGCCAGTCTGGGATGTCTGTCACCTGCAGTGAGTGTCCTTCCCTCTGTGCTTAGTCTCTGCCCTTTGCAGAGGGAGTTCCTCTCTGTGCTGCTCTTTTCTGGCCTGCAGGAACTCACAGTTCCTCATGGTCAGTGAGGGGTGTGAACCACTCCCAGCACACTACAGCAACACCTTCCTCTTCCCCTGCACTGTCCCCTGGACCTCTGCCTCCTGTGCCGTGGGGCTGGGTGAGGTGGTGAGAGGGGGCCGTGCTGGTGGTGCCTGGTCTGAGAGCACCTCGTGTCCTGGCAAGGGCTCTGCTGTGAGAATACCATAATGCGCTGCTCAGGTGTATCTCACCGTGTTTTGTCTTCCCTAGGGCTGCTACACCGTGATCCTGAACTCCTTTGAGACGTATGTGTACCTGGCAGGAGCTCTTGCCATCGGAGTGCTGGCTATTGAGGTACTGACTGTTGTGTGACTGGAACAAAGCAGCGTCAGTAAGGTGCCAGCAGCAAGGCAAACAGGCAGCTGCTCTCCCTCGCCAGGGAAAGCTGCTCTGGCAAAGTGCAAGCAGGCTATCAGCTTGTGGGTTTAATTGCCTGGAAAGAGGCTCCTTGAGCCTTTGACACAAAGGGCAGGGAAATAACCGGTGCCACACGCCTGCAGTGCCACCTCGTGCTGGGCCTGCACAGAGCTTGTGCCCTGCCACGCTGGCCATAGAGGCTTTGGGGATCCGCCACTCTCCACAGGGCCCTGCACAGTCACTGCTCCCACTGCCACAGTGCCCCAGCCAGCTGACTACTCTGTCACTTGGTTAATGTGCTCAAACCCTGCCTATGCTTTAAAACCTGTTTCGAGACTGAAAAGATGGGTTCCAGAGCACTTTCATTGTCCTGCGTTAGTACCCACTTCTTTAATGATGTCTCTGAGGAACAGACATCCACCAGACATGGCTTTAGCCCAGAAATTATGTCCCTGTGGCATTGCAGGGAAAGGCTGGGTACTTTAAAACCCCCCTATCTTGTGCAAAGGAGAGAGATCTGGGGAGAGGCGCAGCGGCCTCCCACAAAGGCTGTGCTGTGCCCATGCCAGGCAGTAGCAGAGATGTGCAGAGCAGGGACTGTGAATCCTGCACCCCTGTGGCACCAAGGGCAGTTTGGGAATGAAGTCAGGCTGCTGCTGTAGCCACTAACAGTTTGGGGGGCAGGGAGGGGCAGAGGAGTTTTGCCACAGCCTCCCGTGGGTGGTAAGGGTCCCCCTCTCTGCATCACTGACTGCCAGGTAGGAGGAAGCAGTGGGGGTCGTCTCAGGGCCAGGGAGGGCTTTGCTGATCTTCTGGAAGATGCATCTGACATTTATGGTTCTGTTTTGTTTCTGCCCTCTTCTTTCCCGTCCTCTTCCCAGCTGTTTGCCATGATCTTCGCTATGTGTCTGTTTCGAGGGATCCAGTAAGAAGTGGCCCATGAACCACCACGTTCCCCACATGCTCAGAAGAAAGAAGGAAAATCTGAAGAAACAAAACCTGAAAACGCCAAAAAAAAACTTTATTTTTTCTTAACAAAATGGGACAGGGAGAAAAAAATAAAAAGAAAAAAAGAGGGTTGTAATATATGAATGACCAAAAGGATTGTACTTCAGGGGCTGGAACTTTGAGGTGATGTGCACTACACTGTACACCGGACCCTTGCCCAGAGCCACCCGCAGCAACTGTGGAGCAGGAGCCGAGAGCCACCGATTGCACTAGAGATGGATGGAGCTGGTGGGGGTGAGGGAGGAGCAGCACAGCTGCCTCTCACACCAGGCTGAGCCTACATTCACCACTTCATCGTGTTCTAGACAACAAAGGACCCAAGAACAGACATGCAGGGGCTGCATAAGGCAACAGGTTGGCTTGACTGTCCAGGTGGGTTTGAAACAAGCAGTGGTGGCTTGTCTAAGCAGGTGTAGTCAACATTTGCATGATTCTGGCTTTAATTCCCAGCCACAGGATGAAAACACTCATTCTTCAGTGGAAGCATTGCCCCTATCATGTGAAACTTGTCAGAGATGTCAAGCACTTCAGTGACACTGGCTTTTCTCTGGAACTCCAAGCAGGGGCAGCATGATTTAACTTAGCAATTGGACTCAGCTAAGGCTGCCTGAGGGTCGAGAGTTTGGTGCCTACCTTTCTGTTTTTACTAAGATTTATTGTTCACTGTTGTGAAAGAGACCAAATGGTTCCCTGCTATGTTCCCATCTCCTGGGGAAAAGAATGGCTCTGGTCAAGCATCATTGATACTGTTGCTTTCCTGAGAAGGGAGGATATACTGTTTAAATCTTGTCAGCCTTTGCGTTTCCTCTGATACTTGCAAAAAAATGGTTTGTGGTGCTCTGTTAGCATAAATATTTGCAGTGGTTCCTGCATGCTTTTCCAGCCTTAAGGGGAGGTCCAGACATGGTGCTGGATTGAAGAGGCTGAAGTTTGTCAACCACTCCCATGCTGTTTTCCTGGACTAGTCTGGTGGAATCATTTCTGTTCAGAGAATTTCCCCTGAGATTCTCCCATCGGCTCATGATGAAAGTAATCCAGTCAGAATTGTTTTAGTTGATAGTGTTTCCTCCCTTGAGATAGTTTGGTATTTAATTAACACGTCACCTGCTCAATCATTTGGAAGTGAACCTGAGAAAGATGGCTGGGACTGGACCTTGGTCAGAGATTAAGCTCTAGTACGGAGACCCCAGGCAGGATCCAAGAACATCCTGTGTGCAGCCACACTGCTCCAGCTGCTGCTATGGTCATGGATATTGACTTGGACAGGTGACTGGTTTCTCATCTGGAATCATCAATCCATGTTGCCTTAACTGTTCATCTGGTCACTTACTCCCTGACCCCAAACTCATTTTACCTGGGGAATGACAGAAGGGGATGTGGTTTCTTGTTTAGATTAGGTCTTTTTACAGATTTTATAGGCTCAGATTATGGGAGCACTTTTATATAGGCTCAAGTCAGCTCCTCTGAAAGCTGTAATCTCTGGCAAGGAAGGAGCAGAGCATTAAACTTTGTGCCCAGGTTTTGCAGCAGCAGCACGTTCATCCTCTGGCTGTTGCCTTAGATCCCTGGGGCTGTGTCCCTTGAGCTCTCCCGGTGGCACTGCACAGACTACAGGCAAGGAAGGAAAGCAGCAGAAAGCTGGGATCACAACAGACAAACATTATGGCTAAGTATCTAGGTTGGGGAATCAGGATACTAGGGAACAGGAAGGAGGCATTAGGAGCTTTTCCAAGCTTCATTTGAGAACAATTTATTCAATGGCAAGAGAGGGCTGGGCAGGTAGAGCTGCAGCCCCCCCCCATGCTGCAGTCAGCATATTCGAGCAACAAAATATGTTGCCAGGGCTGCTGAGCAGCATCAGATGTTACATTAAACTTTCTGGAAATCTGTTCAGAACTATTTCCCTCTGGACCTCCTTGTAATGAGGCATTTTAGCATTAATCTCTGGTCTGTTGTTTAATAAAGAAAAACAGTTGTGTTAGCCAAAACCCAGCAGTATTTGTCCTGGACAGCAGGTGCTGCACTTAAGATAAGAAAAATCTGTTCCATCTACCAGTCTTGTAGAGAATGGGCTGAGCAGAAAGCAAGCTTATCTGTTCTCCTTCTGCCTCAGGAGCTGGTGTCAGTGACTGTTCTGGGACAGCAATTCCCAGGGAAGAAACAAAACTGTCAGCAGAGTCGGTAATTTGGCTGGAGGTGATCGAAAGAAGCAGAACTGCCTCCCCCAGTCTCCAGTTTTTCCTTTCCCTTCAGTTTATTATGGAGAGTTCTCAGGTCAGAGCCTGGCTGGCAAATATCCTTAATTGTGCATGGTGGGTGGCTGAAGGGGAAAAAAGCCTTAAAGCCTTTTCTGCCACCAGTGGCATGGAGAAAAAAACCTGTTAGAGCTGGGGGAACCAGACCAAAGCAGCCAGAGCACTAAGTACTAAATATACATGCCTGAAGTATGATCTTGGCTGGCTTGTTTCTCTTTGGCTTTCCTAATTCTGTACTCATTGCTTTGTCTGTTTTTAGCTTTCTTGCTTTCCCTCTCTCCCTAATGGTAGTCCCCTGTATCTTCAAAAGGATCTCTTCTTCATCTGTTATTCTGGGCTGTGCACAGCTGTTCCTCCTCTTCTACCTTTTCTGATCCCCCACTGCTCTTTGCTGTGTGACGACTTCAAATCCTCTCTACAGGATGGCTCATGTGCCACTGGGAACACAGCATAAAAGGCCAAGCAGCAATTCCAAACAAGAACTGGATATAGCTCTAAAGATATGTGCAAGTCTGAGGGGATCTTTAGCAGTTGGTAACATGCAGAAGGAATTTCCTTGGGGGAATTTAATGAACAAGCAAGCCCAGAAAGCAGACTCCCACTGTATGGCAAAGCATGTAAATTTGTTGGTTTAGTCCCTTGGTTTCGTGGCTGTCCCCTCTGTGGTACAGTAGTTTTCAGAACTGTAGGCAGGAGAAGCAGTTGTATTTTTGTATTTGTTTTTAACAGCTCTGGTGAGTATTTTGGGGGCAGAGGGTCAAGTTGAAGTCACTGCTGGCTGGAGAACTCTGGGCAGGCTGGAGAGCAGAAGGAGTTGCCGTCTCCTTTGCTGTAGCACTGTGACCATGGCCCAAGCACCTTGGAGGGAGTAGTAGAGACCAGCCTGGGCCAGCCCCCAGCCCCTCTCAGCATCTCTGCCTCCTGGTTGCTATTTAATGCTCCAATGACTGTCACAAATGCCTGGGAAAAGGGCTGCGTGTGAAATAATGTTTGAAATATATTTTAAAAAAATGTAAATGTTCTTTTTATTAGATAGTGGAGCTAATTTATCCTGTATTCCCTACTGTAATGCTTTTTTATATTGAAAGGAAATTTTTTTTGGTAATATAAACCAGAACACAAGCCTGAAGCACTCTCTGCACGGTTTTTGTGTGCATTTCTTAAAAAAAACCCAAAAAATAAAAGAAAGATATTGTGACAGTGAAGTGAAACAGCTTTAATTTTCACTATTTGCTTGGTGTTAGAGTACAGTCACTTTCTTACCAGAGGAGAAATAAACTCAGTTACAGCAGCTAAAATGAGGTATAAATTGAAGTGTCCCATTCTCCCCTGCACCACCACCCCCCACCCACACCCTCCCAAGTAAAAACCCTTGACCAGAAAAGAGGCCAGCTTAGGACAGACAGAGCCTCTCCTATGTCACCAGCTCCAGTTTGCCAAATATTGGTTAGATGCAAATAAGATGATGTAGGGAGTTATGTGAACGATGAATTTTCTTCACCCTCCAAAGTGAGGGCTCTGTGAATGCAACGGTTTGGGTCCATCCCTGGCAGAGAAAGGGGGTCAGCTTTAAGTCCTGGCCTGTGCCTGTTTGGAGCACAATTCTCTGGGGAACAGACCCCCAGTCCTGCACAGCATTGTACAAATGCAGGAAGTTCAACTGCAGTCTCCCTTGGGAGATGACATCGGTCCAAGGCTCTCTCACAATGTAACAGATAAGGAAGCTGAGGCCTGTGGAGATGGAGTTTTTTTGTCAGTAGATCAGTAGCCGAGCCTGAAGTGACACCTCAGGCTTTTCAATCCCAAATTATGTTCTGAACTGCCACCTGCAGCTGTGATGTCAGCACTTCCACCCTTGGGGACACAGTTCTGCACAAAGGTGTGGCATCCTCCTCCCTTTCTCCCCACCCACAACAGAGTGAAGACAACCAGGTGCAGCTGGTGTTTCTGGCAGTGATGCAGCTGCTCTGCCTGGCCTCCATCCTCAAGCCACCCTAACTCCCTCCCAGGCCTCACCTGCTACACACTCACCAACTCCAGTGGGCCTGGCAATGTTTCTCCTGCAGCACTTTGCTGCTGAGAAGGGACATGCCAGGAACCACAGCTTAGTTGTAGAGGAGGTGTAGAGCTCTGTATTTTCTGCATGGTCCACTTATACCAAGATGGAGAAAGAAGCATCAAAACAATCCAACTTCATGTCTCCACTTTCAGGACTGGGTACCAAGTAGCATGAAATCTTTTAAGTGACCACTCCCCCAGGCTTTGCTCTATGTTAGAGCAAGAAAAGCCATTGACCAGCAAACCTAGAAGTGGAGGACTGTTCCAAGTTTTGCAGAAGCAGCTGCTAATCAGGGAACCAGAAAAATCTAATCTAATCTTATCTTATTTAAAGCTACCCTGGAGAGCTTCCCTCACCCTCCTACCTGATCTAACCATCAAGAAGTCCTTGGAGTACTACTCTCACATAGTGCAGTAACTCATTTCTCTCACCTATGGGATGACATTTTAAGGTACACTAATCAGACTCAAGTCATAACTAAGTTCATGGGACCTGTGGCCAACACAGATGGGAGGCAGCATGAAGAAGACCCCCCCAATTCCTTCTCCTGTAAGACTGCTTTTGCTGTGGTAGGTTTTACTTGTCTGTCCTAGAAACATAATTTCCCACCCCCCCAAAAACCAACCATCAGTCTATGTATACATTCATGTGACACCCCAAAACACAAAGAATCAAGCTTCACGTACCTATACCCACAACTACAGCCAAAGTGCCACACTGAGGCCATTGCAGCTGCCCATGCAGGTGATGCACAGGGGGAGAGCAACAGCCACAGCATGCCATGCTCCAGCTCCTGTGCATGCTGCTCCACTTGGTCTAATTTCTGATCCTCTCCAGCCTGCATTTGATCATTATCTGCCTCACAGGGAAAGGTTTGCCTCTTAGACCCCAATTCTTCCCTCTGAACAGGAACACTCCTCTTAATTAAACGTTTTAGTTGCTCAGTATCATTTTTGGATGTGCTGAAAGCAGCTTGACAAGCGTGTATTGTTGTGAGGCTCCAGAGTTTAGCCTGCTGTTGGATGTTGCCTCTCCATTTGATTTACTTATTAAGCAAAAAACTAAGTTACAGTTGTGATGTTTCCTGATTTAACAATTTCCAATATTCTTATGTGTCAGACATTTTGCATGGCCAGTAAGTACAATGCACACAGTGTCCCAAGCTTATGCAGCTGCTTCTAAATGCCAAAAGCACTAACACAACATACAATAACTACCCACTACCTTCTTCTAACTCTACTAAGATATTAAACAGCAATAGCTGTAGATCCCAGTCTTACCAGTGGCTTGAGGACTGTTGTTCACACAAGCAGTCCTGTTCGTGTAGAAATCTTTCTACTGGGATTTTGGAACATCAGCTATATTCCAGGGCGTGCTTTGATCCAGTCAACAGTAGTGCATGAGTAATAAGTCCATATCCTGTACACAGACCTTCTGGCTTTAGTCCCATGGAGAATAAAAAATGCTGCCTCAAGCTGTGGACAGGAATAATCCACAAGGAAAGCACTAGGAAGCAGGGCAGGCAATGCTGTCAAGCCCAGGAGATGTTGGAGAAATTGGCTAGTGAGTACTAAAGCACATTCAGTCTGTCCTTGCCATCAACGCTCCGCTCCTTGCTGTTCTTCATCTCAGTTAAATATTAAATATCTTAATGCTACAAACTTTGGTCCTCTCTTCTCAAGGTCAGAAGAGACGCGATGCAGATATTAGCAGAGTGGGAACAGCATCTCCCACAGCCAGAGTCCACATCAAGAGGCTATTCACTGACCCAAGCATCTGTGCAGATGCTCTTACTGTTACAGTCCTCTGCTCTTACCAGTGCTAACCACAACAGCACTCCAGCTCCTGCTCAACTAAAGCATCAGATAAAGCTACTGCACACCCACCACTGCTACTACCATCAGTAAAGCTTCAACTGTAGGAAGTGTTCTGGGGTGAAGGGGACAGGACCCCAGCCTAGAAACTTCGTGAAACACCCCAAACAAGGGGATGTCTTTGTGCTTAATGGGCTATTTCCAATAGCTTCCTTTACTTCTCGCATCTTGTAATTCAAGTTGGTCCACTGTTCCCAGTGCTGTCCCTGCAGAAGGAACAACGAGGGTTCTCCCTCTTGTTTTGCTGTATCTCCTGCCAAGCCCTACACAGCATCTGGTGCAAAACTATGAACTACACAAAAATGCACCTCTAGCAGAGAGGAAAGAAGAGCTGTTTGCAAAGCACTGAACTTGACCCCATCCAGCTCCTGGCTACCTGGACAGTCAGTACTTGCTAAAAGGGGAAAGGGCTGTAAACCAGGGGAGGTGCAAGGCTTACCAAGTAGAGTAGCCAGATCCTTTGTAGGTTGTCCTACTGCCCTGTCTCCTCAGGGATTTGGTTTCAATATGCTGGCCTTATTTTGTGCTTTGTTCCAGTGGGTTCAGAGCCTGTGATCCCATCAGCCAGTACCCCCTAGAAAACTGGCTTTTTTCCCTGAGCCTGCCAGGCCCATACACTTCCCTGAGCCTTCCTCCCCACTGTTCCTCACCTCCTGCAGAGGGGCTGGGGGGTCCCACTGATGTTGCTCCCCCCATTTCACCTGTCAATGCCACCAGCACTGGGTTACACACTGATTCATGCCGGTAAAGAAAGAAACTACTTTAAAACCAAAAGGGACTAACAAAAAAAAACAACAAAAAAACCAAAAAAAAAAAAAAAAAAAAAAATTATAATGCAAAATTACCGACACAAACTCCCCCCTCCCACCTTTCCCATAACAAAAAAGCCCAGGAATTAGACTTTCTTGGGACGACGTCCAACTTGGTAATAATAATAAATGCTGATGAGGATGAAGAGGGCTCGGCTGACCAGGAGGAGCACGGCACCTGTGGCTATCCGGCTACTCTCAACCAGGGAGACAGTGGTAACTAGAAAAGAAGGAGAGAGACAAGGCAGAGGTTGGTGATGCTAAACCAAAAGGAGACAAATAGCACAATGCTGTTTTCTGCTGCCCTCTAACGCAGGGCTTTGGCAGGAACTGCTGAGCCTTGCAAGCGCAGGAGCTTTCAGCACAGGCTCATTCACATGCACAGTGAACCCATGGCAGAGGCTCTTCACTAGCTTCTTGTCACAGCCTTGAGGCTTGCCATGGACCCCAGAGCTCTACCTTACAGAAACCCTGCTTTCAAACATTCAGGCAGCCTGAAACAGTCACTCAAGCAGATGTGAGTTTCCATTATGCTCAGGTGTTAATCTGGGAGTCAGATCCTCCTGAGTTTGCTTTGTGGCTTGAACTGTGCTGATAAACATTTCTCAATTTTAGGAGCATCTACAAAATATGCACAGTCCACACACATTGTCTCTATTGAACACCTCTCTTTTCTGGCCACGAACACATAGCTCGTATCTAAACCAGCTACACACTGAGCTACAGAGACACACATACAAGAACCCCCTCCATTGTTAAATATAGATAAGCTCCCTAGAAACAAGCTAAATGCTATGCTCTGTTTGGGTAACACTAAACATCCCCCTTTTTAGTGTAGGTTGCTAAAATCTTTTCTTGTTAGACCCTGCATCTAGGGAGCCTGCTCCAGCAATGACCTGTGCTGGCTATGAAGCCCAGGACATTTGCAGGGAGAAAAATTAATGAATTGTCAGAGGGTGATGTTCAAGGAGCAGCTCAGGGCAGAGGCTATTCCATGGGGGAGAAAAGAGGCAAGCAGCTGGCAGGGAACATGCTCCACCACTGCCCTACCCACCCGTCCATCCCCACTTCCCACCACGCAGAGTCTTCTCACCCTCCTCCTCCTCCTCCTCCTCGTCCCGGCCGGCCCGCGGGCACTCACCCAGGAACTGCACGGCGAAGTAGCAGGCCTCGGCCAGCAGGCTCCAGCGGATGATGGCCTTCTCGGCGGTGTACAGGGCGTTCCACATGATGAGCGCGATGCCTGCGGGCACAGCGGGGCGCGCTGCCCGAGGGCCGGGACAGCGGCCAGGCCGCGCTTCCCGCCCGCCCCGCGCGGTGCCGCTGCAGGACGCGGGTCGGGCCCCTTTCCTTTCCCACACCGCATCTCCAGCTGCCCGCGCCTCCTTGTCCTTCGCCCTCTTCTCCTGAGCCCTTCCCGGGACGCCGCCGCCTTCCCATGTCCCCTGCCGCTCCCGTGGAGCTCCAGCTCCGGCCCAGCGCCCCTCCCCGGGCCCCCCTGCAGGCTCCCTTTGCTGGGGTACATGGGGTGATTCCCCAGGGATTCGGAGCATGCACAGCCCTTCTTACCCTACCTGCAGCACACCTGAATCCCTGCTAGGAAAAAGCAGCAGTAGCCAAGCTTTTCAAAGTACCCCTCAGCAATTCCTTTGCTAACAGCAGATGTTCTGCTCTCCAGCTGCAGCAGGCGTCCGGCTGGGCACGGACTTTGTCACCTGCTGCCGTTTTGGCCACCTGTCCCCTTACTCTATCGGGCAGCAGCATCCCCAGTACAGTGGTACGGCACTCACTGAGGAGGGCTCCACCATAGAGCCGGATGGGAGTCTTGCTGCTCACCGATTCCTCCTCAAAGATGGCATCGAAGAGCTGGTCAGGGAAAGCGAGGGCCTGGCAGAGGTGAGAGAGAAGCTCAGCAACCTGAACCGGCCACCAAAACACGTCCTCTTAGGCAGCAGTGCTCCAGCATCAGGCCCTTGGGGGAGTGGAGCCGCTGGCCAGGAAACTGGCAATTAAGGAGGCGCAGAAATATCACCATGTCAACTATCGGCTGCATGGCTGGTTTTTGTGACCAAGGCTGCCATTCCTTGGTTTATGGGCCCTTCTAATGAAAACAGACTTGCAATGGGAACAAACTGGCAAGGACACTGTTGGCAAAGCCCGTTACTGAGACACGGCGAGGGCAAAGGCCTTGCAGGAGAAAGCGGTAGGAGCTGCTGGAGGCAGGGGAGGAACAGAAATGCCAGGGACCGAAGGGCCATGCTGGGGCACCCCTTTAGCAGTCAGGAGCTGGCTCTTGCCAGGACCACGTCCCTCACTCACCATGACAGCAACCCCGGAAAACATGATGGCGGAAACAAGCTGCCAGACCCTGCATGAGAGGGAAGACAGAGAACCCAGCATGAGCTTGGAGGTGACCCCATCACTCATACTTCACAAAGCATTTCTGGCTGCCTGCTCATTCCCCCTTTATCCTTCCCCTATGCACAAGCAAGACAGCCAGAAACGTCCCATGGAAGGACTCAGTTTTCCACATCCCGCTAGCTTCAGCCTCAACATGCAGACCAGCCTCCTCCTTCACACCCAAGCAAAGGAGAGAAGTGACCCTGCCAAGAGGATGGTGCAGAGCAGGGTCCCCACAGGACACACCACTCTGTCACACAGTAGAACAGGAGCTCCTTCAGCCCCACACAGCCCTTGTAGTTCTCTGCACATGCAATGAGACAAGAACTTGAGGGCCTCAGGCTCATTAATGGGGGGAAGAATGCAGAGCTAGTCTAGTTCCACAGCTTGCAAGAAGCCCCTGCAGGGAGCAGTGATGCTGGCACAGCAGCAGAGTTGGTGTCAGAAACCAGAGCTGGCAGGGATGCTGTGGCCAAGGGGCCTCAGATGACCTAGCTCCAAGGTGATCCAGTACCTTACCTGAGTCCCAGTGGTTCCCGGACTGCAAACTTGATTTCATTTCCCAGTACTTGGCTAATCTGAAATTCAAATGAAAGGCACAAGCTAAGCAGATCCTTCCCCAGTCTTTAGGTAGTGCTCAGCAGCCCAAAACCACATATCTAATCCCATGTGGAGGTTTATCTCAGAAGGCTGTAAAGAGGAGGAGGACAAAGGACTCAGCTGTGATTTGTTGGTCCCAACACCCACTTGATTTCCATGAGGAGCTGCAGCCTCTATGCTCCCTTACTGGGATCAGCACCTGCAGCATGCAGCTGAGGAAGGGTCAACACTAACTCCTGTTTCCTCTTACCTATGGAAGAGGGGAACTCACTCCTCACACACATCACCTGCATGCTCCTGATGGCACACAGGCTCCTGCAGAGCCCTCAGGGTGTTACAGTATCTGTCCTGCTGTCATGTGCACACTGCCCAGAGCTGTTGATGTGAACATGCTCACAATGCCTGGCTGTAACTACCCAAACCACATGGATGGGCAAACCCTGGTTTGCCCAGCAGAAGGTCCCTTTTCCACCATTAGTGCACATGGGCTTCCCTCTCTGCTGGCCTCACCTTAGAGCGATGGACCTCGCCGTCGTCATCCTCCCCACCAACGCCCAGGATCTTGCGTGTCTTCAGCCTGCTCACCAGGTCGGTCTGGCTGTGCTTCTTCATCAGCGGCGGGGGCTGCTTCGCCGCCATGGTGCTGGCCCTGCCCCACCAGCCCTTGGCTGCCAGGGGGCACAGGGAGGCTGCAGGAAGCGGCTGGCACTGTCACATGAAATTTCACGACGTTTGGGGAAAATAAAACAACCGCCGCCACAAGGTCCTCCTGTTAGGCTGGCAGAGGGATCCTCATCCTCGCAGGGCAGGGAGCCCTGGCAAACGAGGCCGGCCCTAGTTACAGGTGGCTCATCTCAGAATGATCCTGCTGTCTCCAGGATCTGCCATGGGAGGGGAAAGAAAAAACTCAGAGCAGAGCGGCTTTAGCATGGACATTTAGTTAGAAATGCTTTTGACCTACAAACCATAATCTTGTCTATCCCAGCATGAGGCAGTGCCCAATAGAACCTCTTTGCTGTTTTTCAGATTAGGGGAATTAAGTGTGTCTCAGACTAGGGGAATTAAAATCATTAAGTAATTCTTGGCCTTTTTCCTTTTTCCATTCAATACATCACATTCTTCAGCTGCCATTTCAGGTCAAACCCCAAACAAGTATCAGTTACTTATTTGTGTGTTCCCCCACTCACATGCTGCAGCCCCCAGGCCGTGCCAGAACAACATATTGGCCCCTGAGCAGAAGAAGCCAGAGGCATGATTTTCCCTGAAGATACTCACTTTGCTTTCAGGGAAATGATGGAAATTTGAAACGGCAAATACTATCTGGGATAAGTAAATACAGACAACAAGACTTGAAAAAGATAACTTCTGCCCTGACATGTGTAAAGCTGCAGGTATTGAGTCCCATGAAATCAGCCTCATCCCACAAACATAAAACCCTGGAAACCCTCAGTTCAGAAAGCCTTTTCTTCCAATTTGTCATCTTTTTATCTTGGCTCAGCTAAACACAAACACTTTTTTCCATTTGCCACTTGGCCGTTCCAGAGACCCACAGAAATTTCCCCCAGGCACCAAGCACAGCTAATCCAGCCCAAGCAAGTGTAGGGCTCATGCCCCAGCTGAGCCTTCCCAGAGCTGCCCCAGGAGGAGACAATTTATGCTGATGTCTAAATATTTCACGAGTCTTTGGAGAGTAGTAAAACGAGGTACAGTTATTTTGGCACTGTGCATACAAATGTTGTGCCAGTGCCTTGCGAGGGATTTCCCTCTCAAAGGAAAACCCTTCCCTGTGGTTGTTCAGACAAGAACAGCCAGTCCTGTCTGCAAGTGCCCAACGTCACTCTTTCTTTAAGGCAAAGTTAAGAGGTCTTGCTGGGATAGTGCAAAAAGTGAGCCCCATGACCAAGGGTTTAATAAGATCCTTTCAGCAGATCAGGCAAAGTGCTTTTCAGTGAGCCAGTTGAGCTACCCAGTGCTTTGGAGGTACTTCTTTTGGATTGTAGCAGGGCTTCTTTGGTCGTGGGTTTTTGCTCTTGTTCCACTGAATAACTAAGCCCAGGTTCCTGGAAAGGCAGCACAAAGCCAGATGCAGCAGTCAGGATCTAGAAATATTTCCAGAATTGGAACAGAATTGGAAAACACCACCACAGCAGGAAGGTAGAATGTATACTCAGGTCTACCTTTGAGGCAGGAAGCTCAAATGGTAGCTGACAGTAGAAAAGTTTGAAAGATTTATCATGTATGGGGTTTGCCAACCTAAATTGTCACAATAAATTGTGTGTATTCAAATCTAGATAATCTGCACACAAAATCCAGGCCAAAGACAGAGCGATGTGTCTAAAAGAAAAGCTCAACCTCTTTAACTAGCTACAGTTTTTGCAATTTTTTTCTGCTCCTGGCTGACCCAGACTAACAAGGTTGGATGCTAGGTGGTTTCCCACCAGAAGTGCTGAAACCAGAGAAGACATGTTGCTGTGGCATTTCTAGCCCAGAATTTTCTGATCAAAGCCATCCATTCCAATCGTGAAGCAACAGTCTTGTGGTGAATGCTCCTCTCTCTCTCTCTGAGGCCATCCCACATCTCTGAAGTTAGGGAGGGCCCAAGCAGGAGCATCCTACTGGCTCCCCTCAGGAATAAGAGACCTGAGGCTTGCTGGTCTTGATAGGACTTGGGGCGCTGAGTGTGCTGGCCATGCCATCCTGGTACTTCTGGATCTTTCCTGGTTTCTTGCTAGGGGAAGCTTGATGGCCACACCTCCTGCTCTGGCCTCATGGTCAGAAATGCCAGAGGGAGGGAAGGGAGGGAAGGGAGGGAAGGGAGAAAAAAAAAAAGTAATAGATAATTTCTCCTGAGAGCAAGAAGCAAAGAAAGGTAGGACTCCATGACTCACCAATGAAGACTGCACTGAATAGCTTTGTGATTACAGAGGCAGTTTAGCAACTGGCTCAAGGCCAAAAGATCAAAATTTGCCTTCATCATTTGTCTCGCCAGTTGCTTTCAGGGCAGGAGCTGGTGGAAATTTATCCACATCATCATTAACACTGCTCTCCCATTAAGAGTTTTCACTAATTTGTGGTAAGCCACTGGCCAAGAGCCGGGACAACACAGGCCAGACACAAATGCCAATAAAACAATCTGGTGCATAAAGCCACACTCCTACAGCACAGCTAAGGCACGGCCCCGCAGTCAGTCCCACATCTCATTACCCCCCAGGCCAGAGACAGAGCCAGCCTAACGGATGCTGAATATTAATGGCTAATGAGCTAATGAATGCAATTAGTGCTAATTCAGTGACATTCAGAGAGAAGATGCTGAGGATTTGAAAACATTATACTTACATTAATGCATCCTGACACACTGACAGTTTAGAGGATCGTTTCTATTAGCCTGTGAGTTTGCAAAGGGAAACCTCCACCTCCTCTTTCTCCTGCGAGTCTCTCCTCCTTAATCCTTTTTCCAAGCATCCCAGGGACTGTGCAGATCAGCCACCATAAACAGGCAATTCCTACTCCCTGCCACAGCTCTCTGTGATGGGCAGTGCCTATGTGCAGCTGAAAGAGGGTTTTTTCTTCCTAGATCTCTTTTCTTTGCAGGCTCCTTTCAGTGTCAGCTCTCTTGCTCAGCTGTTTAGCATATTGCATTCAATTTTGATAGCTACTGCTTAGTGGTGCAAAGAAACCTCACTGGTGCCACACCAACGATAGCTCAATCTCTCCCACCTCCACAGCTCTTCCCTCCCAGCGTCTGGAGAGGCGAGCTCCGCAGCGTGGGAGAGAGGAGACTCAACTGCACACGCCACGGTGCTGCAGCAGCCAGGGCTGCGCGCCCACCGTGCAGCGCAGAGCCAGACCCTGCCCCGGCAGCACCCGGAGCTCACTGCCTACAGCTCCTGCCAGCCAGAGCCTGACTGCCCGTGGGTGGAAGCTGCCTGCCTGGGAGGACACGGCTCCCCAGGGCCCTGGGAGCAGGGATGCTGCCTACTGCTAAGCTGGATGGCACTGTCATCCACAGTGCAGCCTTTTACCTGACAAAGCAGTGGTGCTTGAATTAAAGAGGTGGCACTACAGAACTTTTCACTCCAAGGGTTTGGTGGCACTTCCAATCTGCAGGCAGAGGAAGAGAGTATGAAACTAGAGCCAAGCTGGGACAATTAAATGTTTATACATATTAGTTGGACACAGTTTGTTCAGCTCTATCATGTTCAGGCCAGGGAGAGGATTCTTGCTCTCCTGTTTTAGAGTTCCCAGCTGAGTATGTCCAAGACAACTCAACATCTTGAGTCTGCTTTGATTTGTTATGCCTAAGAATTATCCAAGAAGGTGCAGTGGATGTCTGCACTGGATGTGGATATCAAGCCCAACAGGGCACTTGCCATGCCTACACTTGCCTTGCCATCTTCTTACAGAGCACAGGCTGAGAACCAATACTAATACAAAGTAGGAAGCAGAGGCAGTGTCCCTTTCCAACACTGGAGGTCTCTGGGAGCAATCTAGCAGAGCCCAGGAGAGTTCCCCAGCACTGCAGCAGCACAAGGATATGTGCATATGAGAGGGGCATCCACCATGGTCACTGTGCTGTACTGGCCCTCACAAATGGGCTGACACCCACAGCATTTCTCTTGCAAGGGCCCAGCAGCTGTAATGGATTTGTCCAGCTCTTCTGGTGCTCCTCCAGGCTGTGCCAGTTCTGTCTCTGCTGCTGAGGACAGTACCAGGTCCACAGCAGCTACTCTGGACCCCGTACCTCATCAGCCACAGAGCTTTTGAGAAAGCCTGGGCTCAAACACATGCTCACATTAAAGAGGAGAGGCAGTGGAAACACAGGTGGATTAAGGACAGGATCCACAGACCTACCAAGTACCGTGGTCCTTGCAAACGTTACACTGTTGCCTAATCCCATGGGACCCAAGACTCCTTTTTTCCCACCACACATGAAGGTTCAGTCTGCTCACTTTTATGTTCTTAAAACGTGTTCATAAACAACCTCAGACACTTCAGGACTCTGAAATCCTGAGACATGAGGTAAATTCTCTATGTCTAACCCAAAAACACACCTGAGAGTCACAAAACATCTTTGTGCATCCTATCTAAATGGCCTAGCAAGAGTTTCCCCTGGAAGCCTGTGGTGCAGCAGACCCTGAGCCAGAACTCCCCATGTCCCATGTAATTACCAAAATATAGCTATTTTCATCCTGTATTTCTGCAACTGCACATCCCAAACCCACAGTGACCAAACCAGCTCCCTGCCTAGATTTCTATCAAGCATGGAGATTTAGACTATTAGAACCTCCCTACCAGCAGCCGTCTGGGAATTAAACTTGATCAAGCCAAAAATAACCTGATGCTCAGGCAGTAAAAACAATTAGCACTCAGCCACCACAGCAGCAGAATACAGCGGCTGCTCCTGCTCTGTCTGGCACAGTCTGTACCCCCTAAGCAACACAGAGACTTCAGATTTCTCACCTGTAACAAGCCAGGTGCACAGGACTCTGTTCCTACATAAACACCAGCCCTTTCAGCACAGAAGGCTCTTTGCAATACCAGCAGGAAGCATGTCTTGACAGAGGCTCATCCCCAGCCCTGCCACAGCCCCTTAAACAACTCTAAAAGGCACAGGGAGCTGCTTCCTCAAGCAACTCTAAAAGGCACAGGGAGACTGTCATCCCTAGGGAATACCTACAAGCCTGGGCAGTAGATTCCCTGCCCCTAAATTATGAAAATGCAAAGCAAGATCCTTAGGTCAAAGGACATCTTTACTGGTGCCTCCAGACCATCTCCCAAACCATCTGCAATGCACCAAGAGCCTCAGGCCCATCTAAAGCTCACCCTTCAGGCTGACCACATCTCATGGCCAGACACCATTGGATGGGCTTTCCAAAGCTGT